AGATGACTGAAGAAGAATTAATGTCTTTGAGCTCTGGTTTTGGAAAAGAGTACTAAACATCCCATGGACTACCAAAAGAACTGGCAGATATGTCTTGGAAAAGGTGCAGCCAAGGGTGCTCTTTGGAGGCAAAGATGATGAGGCTTCACCTCACATACTTAGGGCATGTGACTAAGAGGGGCTATTCTTTGTAGAGGGACACCATGTTCAGAAAGGTGGAGGGATGGGAAAGAAGAGGAAAGCCCTCAACCAGGTGGATTGATATGGTGACTGCCACAATGAGCTCTAATGTGCCAGAAAGTGTGAGGATGGTACAGAATAGGACAGGTTTCACCTCTGTTGTTCATATGGTTTGTACTTGATTTGACAGCACCTAACAACAACATAGCTTGGATCAGGCACATCTTAGTCTCTAGACTGGCATCATTGCTCTTCAGTACTCTGGGGAGGCCCCTGATAGCAGATTTCCCCAGCACAATTCATCTTTTGATTTCCTGACTGCTATTTTTGAGAGTGTAGATTGTGGAACCAAACAAGCCGAAATTGTTAACAACCTCGATCTGTCTATCATGATCCCGCCAATTGGCCCAGTGGTGAGACTCTTTGTCTTCTTGATGTTGCGCTTCAATACATACTGAAGACTGTAGTCCTTGACTTTCTGCAGCAAATGCTTCAGATCCTCCTCAGTTTCAACAAGCAAAGTTAAGTCATCAGCATAAGGCAGGTTGTTGATGAGTCTTCCTCTAATCCTGATCCCACATTCCTCCTCATAGAGTAAAATCAAAAGGAGAGCATTTGCCTGGCGCTAATGCCCAGAAAGAAGGTTGAATTAATGGAAATAAGAATCCCTGGAGGAAGTTCTGGTGGCCTAGTGGCAAGAAGCTATGCTGCAATCCCAAAGAATCCCCGAAAGGAAATGAGAAAGTGCAGTTGCATTGTATGTACTACAATTAATCTCATAAAATAATATATATGAATGCTACAAAACTAGCATGATGTCCTCCAAGAACCCTTTTCTCCTAAAAACATGCCCAAAATACATGAGATGAAGCTTCACCATCCTTGCCTCCAAAGAGCACCCTGATTATACTTGCTTCAAAAGAGATTTGTTCCAGCGCTGGCTGAAAATCGCCCGTGACTTCATCCATAGCCACTGGTGAGAGTCAGCGCCCAGAGCCATCAGGGGCTTTAAGCTCGTTGCCCACTGCTG